GAAAGATGATCTCCAAGGTGGTGGGGTCCACAGCTTTGTATTTTGGTCTGTTGGATCCGATAGTTGCATGCAGTGGCTCTTGGGGGATAACTCCTCTTTCATGGTCCCAAAGATTATCTGAGTTGTGAAGAGGGGGAGCATCTTGAGGAGGTGGCAGGACGTTTAGTGACCCAAGAGGTGGGTTAGGGAGGTTCACTTGAGAGGCAAGAAAAGTAGGGGTTGAAATGTAGCATTAGGAATGCTGCAAACAGGGGGAGAGTTGGGATGGAATCAAGACTGACTGATGGAGGCCAGAGAGAAGTGCAAGAGGAAGGGGAAGGGATAGGGGTCATGGTGTGAGGGGGCTAGGCTACAGGGTGCGGATAGATATCGAACAGCTGGTCGTGTTTGGGATTGGGTAGAGGGGAGGGTGGGAGAATGATGTTGGGTGGGGTTCGAGGAGGCTTGGCAGTTTAGAGGGCCTAAGTGGTCCAAAAGTAGCGGGACATGTGAAAAGGAAAAGTGACAATAAGAGGAGACCAAGTGTGGCTGGCAATCTCAAAGTGGCCCCAATTCATTATATTTCATCCACCTCCCAATTCATCTGCCACAACGCCTTGGGACAAGGATGAGGAATGTGCCGGCCAGAACGAGGTGGAGGGATGGCACAGAGGAAGGTGGATTGGGGGCATTCCATGAGGTTAGTAGAGGGCACGGAATTTGAAATTTGAACTGGTGATGGTGATGACATGTTGGGGGCCTTGGCACTTGTGAATAGGAGGAAAGGCAGATGCAGGTGTTGTTTGGAGCCGATTTTCTGTCGTGCCCTCCGCATGTGTTAGTTAAGCGACCAACATGCTCAATGGAGGGGCTGCTTCGAGAAAATAAAGAAGCAGACCACAATTGAAAGTCAATTAAAGAAGGATGAAAATTGACCGATTAAATCAGTACATTGCTTGGTAGATATATGTGGTGGGCATTCTCGCCAATGTTGTTCACATAGCAGCTTCTACACCATGGTGGAAGCAATTGGCCAATCTGGCCTGGGTTGTGGATCCCAACCCCAAATGAGCTTTCAAAGCATCTTTTGAAAAAAGAGGTGGAACTCACAAGGGAGTTCATCGGCACATATAAGGAGGCATGGGCTCGATATGGGGTATTTATTATAACCGAAACTTGGAGTGATAGGAAGAGGAGTTAGATGAATTTGTGGGTCTAACTGTCCTTTAGGGACAATTTTTTTGAGATCTATTGATACCTTTGATTGATACCCATTATGCCCCATACATATAGATATTGATAGAGATGGGTATTAAGGAGGTTGGGGAGCATCATGTTATTCAAATAGTCATAGACAATGCTGCTTCTAATTTGTTGCGCTAGAACTTCCCTCATCTTTTAAACACCACGCACAGCCCACTACATACACCTCATGCTTGAGGCTAGTAATAGTATGTCCAAGATTGAAGGCCGAGTTAGTAAGGTTAGGTCAGTTACAGCCTTCACCCATAGCCACACCCTCACCCTCAACATGATGTGCAGGTTTACCAAAAAGAGGGAGATAGTAAGGCAGGGGCTACCTGGTTATTGTGTTTGTACATCATTCTTAAGAGGATAAACCAATTGAAGCAAATGTTTACATCTGAGGATTGGACATGATGCAAGTGGGCCAGGCATCAAAATGGGAAGGAAGCATAAGATATCATCCTCTCTAGGAATTTTTGGCATGTGGTCAAACATGCTCTGAAGATATTTGTTCCTTCAGTTAGAATCTTGCGAATGGTTGACAGTGACAAGACCCTCCATGGGCTACATATATGAGGCAACAGAAAGTTGCAAGAGACAGATAGCTTAAACTTTGGGCAATAATGAAAGCCTTTATAAGCCAGTTTGGGAGATCATTGATGAAAAGTGGGATAGGCAGACACCCATTACATGTAATTGATTAATATTTGAAGCCAACTTTCTTTATGCTGATATGGATATTCAAACAAATAACACAATTATGATTGGATTTAATCATTATCTTGAAAGGCTCGCTCCTAGTCAGAAGATCTAGGATCATATATGTGATGAGGAAATAATCCTATACAAGTGTGAACTTAAGTTATTTGGGAACGCCATAACAGTGAGGCAGAGGACCAAAGTTGATCCAGGTAATATATTTAAATTTGTATTTGCTTCAATTATTTATTTTCAAGTTTTCCTGTTTCAACTTTTTAACTTCAAGTTTCATGTTTAATGTTTCATGTCATAAGATCGCGCTTTGCAGTTCATTGATTGAGCTAGCATGGTGATTGTTCTAAACTTACAAAAGATGGCCATTGGGATCTTGAGCCTAACCACTAGCTCATCTGGCTATGAGCAAAACTGGACTATTTTTGAAATGGTATGTTACTTTAAATTTGTCTTCAGTGAATATAACTTTGTTACTTTTAAGTCTTTATTAACTTATTTATTTGAATAAGTATTTAAAATTTAAATAATTAATATATTAGTTTACTAATTAGCAATTAAGTATTGGCAATTACTTTATAATTAATATGATTTCATTTTAAAGAAACAAGCTTAAATAAAAGAGGCTCAATGACTGAAGCTATGTGAAATTTACTCAAAGATTACAAGAAAGATTTGCTAAGCGTGGTAAATATAAAAGATACCCCCTGAAATCGAAGGACATGGAGAATGCCATGGAGTGATTGGTTAATGAAGATGATGAAGTTGAAGGGTATGAGGGATTGAAATGGGATATGGTTTTAGAAGCATCAGGTAGAGCAGCCGACCCTCCTAGGGCCACTAGATAATCTACACAGAGGTGGAGGGGGGATAGAGGAGGAGGATCAAGCAGTTTCATAAGAAACGAAGAAGGATCAGCGTTATTTTGAAGAGGGAGACAATTCGAATGATATGAGGAGGTTGTCCCCGTTTTTTTCTAATGATGACTGAAGACTCTTGAGTCTACAAGTCCAGATTTTTGTCCTTATTTCCTCCTCTTACGTGTATGGAATATAGATTATGAATTTTGGGATGGTAGGGAGTATGGATTATGGAGTATGGTCTATGGACTCTGGATTATGGATTGTGATTGTATTATATTTAGTTTTAGTTGTGCTAGTAGTCTAGTTCTTTGGTTTGGAACTTTGGAATTTGGATTATGGAAATATTTTATGATGTGTTATTGTCATCTCCTTGGTATGGCTTTAGCATGATTTCACAATTCACATAGAAATGTATAAAAATTCATGAATATGCATTTTTAGACAAAGTTTGGACGACCCCCCCCCCCCCTCCCCTCCCACCGGCCATTGAACATGATCGATCCACCCAGATACTTAGGCACCTGCCTAAGCATTGGGTGGCCTAGAAACCCCTGGCTGCTCAGGTGCCGCCCGATGTCTTTCAAAAACCTACTGCTCTCTAGATCAAGAAGGGGATAGGAAAGTTGAGAATTAGGGGGATAGTTCAATATGGAGGAGGAGGCCAGGGGTAGTGGTTGGGTAGAGGTTGATTTGGGAGAATCACTAATCCAGTGGGAGTATAACACATTAGGGCAGGGGTTTTTGGGGATAGGGAAGCATACTCGGATCAAGTCTAAATAGATTCCTGGGGAAGGGGACATTGTGGATGGGCCATGGCAGAACTGAGAAAAGAAGATACCAGAGAGTGGGAACAACGACGGCAATACTCCTTAAAATTGTACAATATTCTCGATTTACAAAATCAAAATCAAGATATATCACCTAACTGGTGACATAAGAACTCAACCTTGTTGGTTGATTTAAGAGTTTCATTTCTTGCTAATCTTCATATATGTTAATGCCAGCATACAGCGACTAGTCAAAGTATTTCATGATAAGACATGGCATACCGAATTACATAGCCATTCCATAAGGAAATTTTACTTGATAGTGTTTTCAGTGTCCCAGTTGAGGAAAATGTCGCACATAGAATTAGAGCTTAGTGAGCGACGTGTAGATGTGCAAGCAGAGTTTTATGTGCTTGTCGCATAACAATGAAGCTGAAGGAGAAGTTCTATAAGACAGTTGTGAGACCATCATTGCTTTATGGGGGGGAATGTTGTACGGTCAAGAAACAACCTATCCATTGGATGAGTATAGCTGAAATGAGGATGTTGAGATGGATGAGTGGCAAGACAAGAAAGGATAGAATTCGAAACGAATACATTCGGGAGAGCTTAGTTGTAGCTCCAATAGCCGATAAGATAAGAGAAAGTAGACTTAGGTGGGGCACGTGCAGTGCAAACCCAATACAACAACTGTTCGAAGGTGCGAATTGGTTCATGTAAAAAGCTCAAAAGGGTAAGGGGAAGACCCAAAAGGACATGGTTGGAAGTAGTAAACAAAGATATGGAAACTTATGGCCTCAATGAGGGTATGGCCCTTGATAAAACAAAATGGCGGACCAAGATTCGTATAGTAGACCCCAGATAATTGGGAAAAGGTTATGATGATGATGGTGAATGTTATCAGTGTCCCACATATTTTCTTTTGGGTGAGTAAGCGGTGGGATTGGAACCCTCGACTACATTGCAGTTTCACCACCTTAACTACAAAATCAAGAGTTCCACTCCCAGTCTTCCATATATTTCCATCTAAAAACATATTACCAACTTGTTTACTAAGGCAATGAATAAGATAAATATTATCACCTAGTAAACAACTGCTCATCTGCATAAATGCCTCCATTTTGAGGGAAGTGGCGAAGGAGTGCACGTCTCAAGTACATATGCTTGTAATAGAAAAAATTTAGGTCATTTACCATATTGCATTTGCAATTTCGCATGATAGAAATGCATTCTTAGTTCACTGAAATGATCCTAATCTAACAATATATGTACGTATTACAACTCCAAAAGCAACAGCAAAAATCACCAGGCACAATGCATAGACCTCAGAACCATGTCTTGTGCAAAAATAAGAAGTTTCATTAGGAAATATAACAATAATAAATTTCCAAAGAAATGGGAGGACAAATAGATCACCAACACTATAAGGAATCACCTCCATTCATTTCGCGATCCACATTTTCATCGCTAGAACTGTCATCAACAAGGAAATTCTCAACTGCATATTCACGTCTGTGGCTGTCTTTATGCTCTTTCGCCATTTGCAGAAGTCCGGGGTGATTCCATATCTAAAACAGAGTAAATTTCATGACATGATTCGCTTATCGCATACAGAATTTTGCAAATTCATGCAACTTGTGAAGTTTTATCTCAAATGATCAGACCTTAGCCAATGATTGGTATGCAGTAAAGAAGCAACGCGTCTTTATGCCTTTGTCACTGTTAACCTTGTCATTTGTGAGTCCATTCACATCTAGAAAACGTTTATATAACTTCCTCTGCATTGGTGAGAGCTTTACAGAAATCACATAGACTGTTTTCGGAGGCAATTCATTCTTGACAACGTTCATATCCTTTCTCTGAACAAATCCTTTTAATTGTTCATAAAGAATATGTGACCTTTGGTTCATGATTTTGACATCGTGAGAAGTAGAATTAGTATGTTGCCCATTCTCTATAGGATTTTGGAATCTGCATCCACAAGAAATTAGTAAAAAGATTAATTTGCAGGAAACACCTAGCGCATTAACTTGCAGGAAACACCTAGTGCATTGAACAAGAACCCAGACAAAAAAATTTGGGTTAGATGCTTGCCGGTTTCTAAATTCGTGGCTGCTGCCAAGGAAACCCTCCCTGACAAAATCAACCATCTGTTCCACAAAAAACATGTTAATTATAATCTAGGTGAATGCAAAAGATAAACAGGACATGGTAATAGTAATCCAGTTCGTAATCCACATAGGGATCGTCTTACACAAAAGTACTCCATGAGATTGTTTTGTAAAGGTGAGCCAGTTAATGCTATTCTCCTTTGGCACTTTACTTGCTTCAAGGCCTGGGTGATATCAGCTTTTGTGTTCTTGATCATGTGCGCCTCATCACAAACTAAGATATCAGGTCCATCCTGATAATCAAATTCACATAGGTTAAAATTGAGAACAATCAGCAAGAAAGCCGGTTCCAAATGGACTGGTGAACCCAATATTCATAAACAATTATAGGACTAAAAACAAAAGATATGCCTAGTAGCAGCATGAGGATCACAACACATACCAATGATATCATAATACATGCTTCATTAGAAAATGATAAATAAAACATTGTGACCAGGAAAAGCAAGAAAGTGTGCATCTCTAGATTAGATCATATTACATTATCCCAAGATGTTGCTACATAGAATGGTGCTTCTCAGAGTAGAAAAGACAGTAAAGTCTCAAAAGCTTTTTTACATACTGAAGGCTTCTTCTTGGCGTGTAGACATTTATATAAGATAAAGAGTTGCTAGCATAAAGAAGTATGAATTTAACTTTTAAACCTTGGAATAAATGCAAAATCTCATTTTGAGAATCACATCTTATGTCAGATAATGAGAATCACATCTTCGGTCAGATAAGGACTCAAGATGTCCTCGGACATAAGTTCCAAGAAAACTGTGTAAACACGTTTTCTGAAAATAATATGTAAAAAATGAAGAAACAACCAAAATGCGAAAGAAGTTACCTTGATCTCATGGCTGGTTAAAATTTTAAAATTACTGAATAAGAATGTTAAATACTGTTATAAATGACTACTAATTGCAGAACATAGACACAAAATCTTACTAGAGGTGTAAGAAGCAATATGAGTGTCGACAGGTGCACAAACTAAGAGGTAGTCTTTAAACTGCAACCAATAATCCATGAAACAAAACCTAATTGACTCCAGTATATTTCCCAAGATGTAATGCAGTACGGCAAGCTACAACAGGCCCGAGATGAGGCTGGTTTAAAATCATTAAGCAGCATAAAGTACCTTCATCTTAAAATCTGAAGCCTTTCATTGTCCAAATTCATGCTTTAGATATGAATAGTTTTCACACAAAACAATACTATACCTGGAAATGTTTTCGAGCTCACACAATAACATCATTACTTATGGACAAATTATTTGTGGAAATTAAAGCAGGAGATCAGTGTTCAAGTGTTTATGAAGTTGGAGATAACAATGAATAAGTAGTCCAAAAAAGTCCAATAACAGTATCATCCATTGTAACCTAGATTTACATAAAAACATAAGACCTAACCTAGATTTAGATAAAAACATAAGACCTTTAAAATGAGACAAGGAATTTATCTACTCTTTAAAAATATTGAAATTTTTCAAAGTAAGCCTCACTTTTCAACCAGCTAACAATTGACCCTTTTCCACTATTCCAACTCAAAATCATGTGTATTTTGATGGGTATTTTAAAATTAAATCAAAACAGATGGGTAAAATGTTAAATAGTTAATATCTTAGGCGCATTTTGACAATTTCCCTTCAAAATGTTAAACACACCAGGATAGGTACTTGACCCAGTAAAATCAATGCCAACATAAGGGGTGCAAAGACATCACTCATATAGAAAGCTAACAAAGCCACTTGTACTTCAGGCTGAGACAAACTAACAAACATTGGAACCTCCACATACTCATCACGAAAGTGAAATTACAAAAAGCATCTTTGAAGAAAGATTTTAGTGATGGCTTCATTTTGACAATTTCCCTTCAAAATGTTAAACACGCCAGGATAGGTACTTGACCAAGTAAAATCAGTGACAACAGAAGGGGCGCAAAGATATCACTGATGTAGAAAGTTAATAAAGCCAGTTGTACTTCAGGTTAAGACAATGTGAAACATATATTCTTTTTGAAAGCAGACAAACTAACAAACATTGGAACCTCCACATACTCATCACAAAAGTGAAATTACAAGAAGCACCTTTGAAGAAAATTTTAGTGATGGCTGATGATACCAAGCGCGCATCGTCTGGCTGTAAAGGAAGCAAAATCCAAGACCATGCATCTTTGGCACCAATATTCAAGAAAACGGGAGTGACCACACAGGGCATCCACCGTGCAGGCACTTCTTTCTTGTTTTTTTGCAGGGGAGGGGGGGGTATCAATTTTGGAATCTAATTGCTTATAACTAAAGTTTAAAAGTCTAAAAATATAAAACTTTAAAATTGCCCAAAATTTGACATCCATTAGCCATTTAAGCGAAAACACAAAAAGTCACATACATAAATGTACATCCATAAACATTCCAAAATCCAAACATTACTTCAATTTCAAAATTTAGAAGTTCAAGACATTCAAAAAAAATTCAACACATTCAAGAGTTCCAAAATTTTCAGTTAAGCTAAATTTATCAAATAAAAACAGCCAAACATTGAGTAATATCGTCAAATTTCGTATTACAAATTGAAAACATAGCCAAACGTAGGCGAACATACAGTAATATCTTGAAATTTGCATTATACATTATAAACAAAAGAAAAAAATTGGTAGACATATATTACGAATATCCGATTTTGCATTATAAACCATAAACATAGCCAAACATAACCAAAAATATAGACAAAAATATGTTATAAAAAAATTGCAATAAATCCAAACATAGACGTATATTATAAATTTTCAATATGAGAAACAAACCCAAACATAGCCACAAAATATTTTATAAATTTTTCATTTTGCATTATCAAGTAGAAACATAGCCAAAACGTATCCAAAAATATGTTATAATCACAAAAGTAGCAAGCACACCGTTAAAAAAAAAACACTCAAGAAGTTTCATCAAAAATGTCAAGTCAAACTTCAAATATAAACACAAGAAAATTACCTAAAAAAACATAAAATAGTAGAATACTCACAACAAATATGAAAACCTAAACAAAAACAATTAAATCTACCCTTTACAAGCCCAATAGAAGTAGGCTTCAATCACTTACTTTCGGATGCCAAAACCTCTCTTTCGCAACCTCTTTCGTCTCCAAAAAGACCCAAGCCAAATGTCTTTCGATTTTAGAAGAAATCAAAAACTGCTAGTTCGAAATTGATTTTCAACAAAAAAATTCAATTCAAGGCAAAAAAACATCGGTTTTTGAAATAAAAGTCTGAGTTTCTAAGGTTTGAGGGGCCAAATTACCCCCCATAACCTGTTTCTCCCCTATTAAATGGGGGAAAATGACTTAAATGCCCTTTTGGCGACGGCAATCTCTGACTTTGCCAAATGGGCCCAGGGCAGGTGCCCAGACAGTAGGAACTAGGCGCCACCCTGGCTACCGCCACACCCTCTGTCAGATGGGTGACCCATTTTTTTAACATAGTTTGGCAATTTAACATCATAATTTCCCAACACAAGCTTTTATTAGTCACAGAATGACACTGAAAGAGTAAGTCATTACCGTGAAAATCACCTACTTTCCGGAAACCAAAATATAATGAGAGAAAACATCACTTTGTATAAATCCCCAAGATAGTAAGACACCCAACACATACCATTAGAAGATCAAACTGTATTAACAGGCAAATAGAACAGGACAAAAATCTCCCATAAGGGATTAGATGTTTCACTTTCCTAATAAAGGAAGAAAAATATTTGTAAGATCCAAAAGTCCGAAAAAAACTGATAACAATAAAGGCCCTATAGACATGTTTATGTGAACATTTTTTCAGCTAGTGACACGAAGATGCTGCATTTTTGCTTTGGTAACAATTACCACCGATATGTTAGGATACCATCATGATAAGACTTCCCAAAACATCAGGATTCCAATTAAAAGTTGGAATTAGAAAGAAATGCTTCACTTACATTAAAAGTAGCACTCACATCTAAATACGGCAAATGGAATAACTTGCCTAGAAAAAGGCTCTCATAATTGATGAGTATGTTACATTAAAAGGAGGAAGACAATAAAAGTAAGTTGATTGGTGATTCTAAAAATATAATAAAAATGTATTATTTCCCTATTCAATATTATTACCTTTTTCTATAAATAAATAAATAACTCACTTTGCATCAAAAAAAATCCCTTACTGACTTTTTAGTTTGATACACGACTTTAACTTATTTATAAGCTATTATTTTTATGGCTTTGAACATATGTTTTTCAGTAGCGTTTAAACTCCTATTTATGGTCCAAAATAAAACTATGTTTCATAAGAGACAACCTATTTTCAATAATTGATTCTAAAAAACAAAAATATTGGCTTAATAAATCAACTTCTTAACAAACTTCCTATAAATTTCAACAAAAAAAGAGACCTTCCAAAATTAGCCCAATAAAATTCCCTACTTGATATCCCAACAAAAGACAACAAAAACAACAAACATGAACAACACGTCACAAAACATTATTAGTCTATGAAACAATAAATCACAAGTCCAGTAACATAAGAGATGCACCCAAAAGTAACAACCACTTCCCAGTCCTAGACTATTTGTTGATAGAACAAAAAACACTATCTGATGCAAATCGGACTTTTAACAAATACGTTGATTAAAATTATTTATTTGTTTATTAATTTTTTAAATTTATAGGGATGTGGGTTGACTTTTTTATTACTCTTTATTAATTTTAATTTTAAGGAATTATAGTGTGGGGATTAAAAGTAGTTTTTATCTAATATGTTGGGCGTGAGAATTTTCCTACTATCTAGGGTTTGTAAGGTCCTTAAAAAGTGGCGTGGATTCCTGTTTTCATGGAGTGCTTTGTTTTTTCCCCTTTTTTTGCTTTTAGTTATTGGCATTCCTTCCCATGTTGGAGATAGTAAGTCCTAAAAATTTGGAAGTTGTAAAGTTGTGGATGGCCTTCATATGTTTTGAAAGGAGAAAGAGGAGTCCTATTTTGAGGAATTAGTGGGTTTTCTATTTTGATGGAATGGATAGAAGGTTATGTTGGGGGAGGGGTGGGGAGGTTTTTTTTGCTTTTCTTTTTCTTTCTTCTTTTCTTTTTTTTTTTTAAGTATTTAGGTGGGGTGTTCCCCTCATGGAGACTTCACATTTGTTAAGAGTATTTTTTAAGAAAGATGAAGCAGCGCTTCTTCTCATAGGCTTCATTTACAGCCATTCTACTACTATTTGTTGTTGATTTTTGCTTGT